CACCCTGGCCTTGAACACTACCAGAGAGGGACCCATCCACAACCTTTCTGGGCAACCTGTGCCAGGGCCTCACCACCCTCATAGTGAGGAATTTTTTCCTAATATCTAATCTAAATGTACTCGCTTTCAGCGATGTATGTGGTGCTCAGTGTCTACAGTGTCCTCATGGATGGGGGCGATCCGGACAGCACGAAGTGGCCACGCTGAGTGGCAGGACTCACTGGCTGCTGAGGGGCCCCAGGTAGCAGCTTTGCCATTGCCAGGATGGAGCTGGAGGAGTGGCTTTCTGGAGAGAGGGAACCATCCGAGGGGGGCTTTTTGCTTGGTTGCTGAAAGAGGAATAAAAATGGCTTTTTACATTCAAGAGCTGGTCCAACATTTTATTTGCAATGGTGCAAAAGCAGTGTGCTTTGAAATTGTGATAAGTAAAAAAGATGCTGTCACCCTCCCTGCTCCTCCAGGGACAGACATTAGGTAAGATGTTCCCATAGGATAATGGGGACTTTGAGTCCCTCTGCCTGAGTGCCAAGAGCCAGATACTTAAATCTAGGAGGAGTGATGGGCTGAATTGTTACTGGTCTAATCTAAGATGAAAAAAAGTACCAACACAGAATGAAATGCTGAAATCTTGAACTGCCTCAAGAAGCAATGTCCTAGTTAGTCTTGCTTTCATTTAATTAATTAAATAATCTCAGCTGAGCATTAACTCAGAATCACAGCACACTGGGTTGGAAGGGAGCTCAAGGATCATCTGGTGCAACCTTTCTTGGCAAAGCATGACCTAGACTAGATGGCCCAGCACCCTGTCCAGCCGAATCTTAAAAGTGTCCAGTGTTGGGGAATCCACCACTTCCCTGGGGAGATTATTCCAATGATTGATTGTTCTCATTGTGAAAAATTTTCCTCTTGTGTCCAGTCAGAATGTCCCCAGGAGTTCCAGGCACAGAAATACAGATACCAGAGCTGTCACATCTGTGCAACAAGACTTAGAAATGAATGCAAATAATCCCAAAGAACTCATCTTTCAGCAGCGAGTCTGACAGAACCTTTAATTTAAGACTGGAAAATTCACACAGAAGAGAGACTTTAGGGCTGCAAGAAAAATGTGATGTATAGTTTGTGTCCTACAGAAGGTGAAGATGATTATGCTGATCTAGCAATCAGCATTCATCCAGAGGTAGCCATAAAAACAGGAGCAGCATAGCACTGATGGAATCTCAGGTGGGTAAAGCTTAGGTGAAGAGCATCACTTCGCCATTGTGCCTCACTGAAAATCATAATCCCCATTGCATTTCTTTGTCATAAACACAAATGCATGAACTGCTTGCAAAACAGGAAAGGACAAAGACTGTCCAGAACACATGTTTTGCCAAAGCTTTTTAACTTTGATTAAAGGAAGATTACAATTAAATCAGAAACAAACTGTAAGAAAACCCTCAGTGACTTTGAAAGTCAGCAGGCATAAATACTGATATTTATTTTTATTGCCACAAAGTGGGTGGTCAACTCGCTAACCTGAGTTAGTGTGGAACATATGGGCCATTCCATCCTCACTAAAGGCATTTGTCTGTGGAGAATCTCATCCTAAAGACAAACTTCTCCCACTGGTAACTGCAGCCAGTGTCAGGCTGAAACAGCCTGGGAAGCGAGTGCAAGTACCTCAACAGCCTGACATTTCGGGACAAGGTATTACTTTCTTTGTCACCCAGAACTGGCAGCAAAACTGTTCAGCTGGTTCCAACATGAGGTTGAAGAAAGTTAAACTCACCAGGAGGGGGAGGCCTCTGTGGTGGCTGAAGTGGCCGAGGCCTGGTAGGAATGGACAGAGACCTGCTTGGAGGCTGGCGATGGCATTCCTCACCTGCCTCCAGCTCCCGCTTCAGATCAGCCAGGTCTGAGTCATCTAGGGAAATTTTAGGAAGAATCTGTATTAGATAGCTGCTGGGTGAGATGCACCAAATCCGGATGGTCAGGAGAGAGGGAATTATGAATGGCAAGCCTCAACCAGGTATCTCAGCAACATGCTCCTTTCATATTGTTTTGCTCTCGTCTTCCTGCTCTCAATCCGAGAAACATGTACCCTTTTGTCAAACACTTCTCTCTCTCTCTCCTTTCCCAGCATTTATTAACTGTTTGTGCCAACACAAAGACTGCCTGCACCTGATTTCAGTGTTACTAGTTACCTTGTTAGGTTCTGAGCTTTTCGCAGCCAGAATTGGTGGCAACCTGCTCTCATTCAAATTTTGTCATGGCAGCCACGAGGAGGCTAGTTAATCACAGCCAAACCCTTGCTCTTCCTTCCTGAACACAGAAATCCCCCTCTGAGGATTAGACAACTTTCCTTGCTCAGGAGAACTGTTTCATGCCAGTGAAAAATCTGAATGGCTCACAGATCATGTCTGTTTTGCACAGCATACCTGCCTCAGTGTGGTAGCCCCTGGCTGCACCTGACATGACTAGGTAATTTCGCGGCCTTTCCTCCTGTCTAAGCCTCTCTGACAGCTCAAGAGGCGAGAAGCAGGGATTGCTTTCTTCTCCTCCTCTGCTATATTGAGGGCTTTCAAGTCAGTTCTCTTACCCTGCCATGGCTACCCAGCCATGCAGCTCTCTTCTTTAGGACTCCAGAATTCACTGGGTTTAGTTTCGCCCCTGTGGTTTGGAGAGGATGGGGAAGGAGCTGTGTAGCAGCAGTCTCTCATACTTGAGGTGTTTTCACACAAGTTCTTGTTTTTCAGAAGGCTGCGCTCTGCAGGGAATATTAGCTACCTCAAAGCTCCCTACTCCCAACTCAGCAGCAGATGGCAGCCACAGAGACAGAGCCTATGATCTGCCCAATCTGCCCTCCCCCTTCTCTTTGCATTTTCTATACTTCTAAGCTGCAAATACACATTCATCGGTGAGATCCAAGGAGTCACGCAGGCACCTAAAAGCACAGTTTGAAATTCTGGCAGTAACACTGAACGAAGGACAGAAACCAGCCATCACCACTCTATCCCTTCCCCTAAAAGGCTGCTGGTTTTAGGCAATGGCTCCCAGTGACATCAGTTTTGTGAGGCTGTGCCCTTCTCTGACCTCAGAAGCATACATACACATCATTGGTTTCCATCTGTGTCTAACACCAGCTATACAATCATCATACCTTCGATTGGGAGTTACTCAGCCAGAATTGGAAGCTCACGGACACATCTAAAATGGCAGAGACTTTCAAGATGGATTGAACATAAAATATTTTGAGCTGTGTGAGATCATGACCTCACCTTGACCTCCTTCAAACTATACTTTATAATCTCCATTTACTTTGTGACATTTCTTGTGGAAAAGAGTTAGTGTGGGTGAAAAGAATCACTGCAATTCTCTGTAGCTTAATGAATCATCACGCCGTAGGCTAGAGGTGTTTGGAGGGCAAGTCATCCTGTAATACAAAGTGATTGGCTTCACAGTATTTAATAATGACAGATTACTTCTCTGCTCAGGGCTGGGGTTCTGAGTCTGGCCACACTACACTCAGCATGACTCAAGGCGGGCAAGAAAGCTGTACATCACTCTGATTGTTTGGAAAATCTGTCTGTGTAAACTTAGGAATTTCATTTAATCTTTTTGAACTCTACTTCTGACTCAACCGTTAAAGGTATTACAGTTTTCACTTGTATGTCAGAAGACAAAGCACTTCTGAGAGAGCACAGAATGACAGCTCCTGAATCACTTGCTGTGACAATGAAGTGTTCAGTGCATGACCCAGCCTGTTGATGCTTGATCACCAAAGCATGCCCTGATCACATCCCCGTGTAAGACCTTCACTGGCACAACTAGTTCTTGCTGCAGTTTTTATCAGTATTCTCTTCATAACTTTATCTTCTCTTTATTGAGTCAGTTCACATTAACATACAAACAGGCCAGGTGACCAGGAAAAAAGGTAACAAATTTATGAAGCACTAAAAGAATGAATATACCTGTTGTGTGAACCTCGAATTCTTCAAAAATAAATAAAATGGGAACAAAGGAGAAACTTTAGGCCTCCTTGAAGTATGTTGTTTGAACACAATCACCTCCTGTACTGCCCAGCGTACACCTGGCTGCACTGCTGCAGCTATTGCTCAAAGGACAGAGCCAAGCCCATCACTGAATCAACAGGATTCTTTTGATTTGATTTTGCTCTGTCCCTCACTAATAAGAAAATAACAGACATTTTTTGTGGTATACTCTGGTGCCAAACAACATGAGAGGGATAGAAAGACTTAATTTCTCCTGACTATAAAAGGAAACCAACATTTCTCAGCATTCTTGTCTTGCCCTGGTTACAGAGAAGGAGGATGTAAGCTTTATTATTTGTGTTACTGTTATGCCTGAGGACCTCAGTTACTGCCACTAACTCAAAGGGGAGGTTGAGCATGAACATGTACCTTATATTTGGAGGACCTACAATGAAAATCGAAATGAGCAGGGAAATACAGACAAAAGGAGAATAAACAACAAACCTTCAGATCTCACTTTAAGGAAAGTAGATACTTTACCTTTATACAGCTGTGGGTTGTGTCCAGATTTGTTTGAAAGAGATGTGGATGCAAACTGTCCAGAGCTTTCAGGCATATCTTCTGTTGTGTCCTCTACTAGGTGTTGACACAAAGCATCATCTAAATAATCATCTTCATCCTCCACTATATCACCTGAATTAAAATATTAAGTAAGAAAGAATTAGTGAGGAAATGCATTCTTTGTCTCTCTCTGTATTATTGCTCAATGCATTTAATACACAGGTTGAGCAAGCTTCTCGTGTAACCCATGTGTTTCATTACAGTTTATTTCTATATAGACAACTGTACCATACACTGGATTTGCTACCATACATTAGAACACTAAATTGACAGGATGATCTAAGAACCAGTTCTCTGTCCAGGCACAAGGCCAGGTCATGGCCTTAGTTACAATCCTCTTTCTAAGAAATGTGGTTTCATTACAGCTTAAGATGCCACTGACAGTCTGATACCACTGACACAGTACTTTCTCTGTGCAACCAAAATCAGCAAACCAATTTCCCACAATTTAGCTTAGAACCCTACTGCTCACCTTCCGAGTCATAGTCCAAACTTGAGAAGTCAAAATTTTCTTCCAGAAGAAAGGAGTTTGCTGTGGGAGACATGGGGGCAATGCTGTCCCGTTTTCGAGCAATTTCCTCCTGAAGGCCCTTTAGCCAGTCCTTAGTCTTGGGCCGGATCTTCACTGTTCTGCCTCGAACCTAATGCAAAGAAATAACTGTTTCCACTTTGCCAAGCATCTTCACAAAATGAGAACACCTGAAGAGAATAAGCAAGCGCTGCCAGTCTGTTGTACAACTGCTTCAGAAACTGATGCAACTAGCCTCGTTTCGGAAGCTAAATGAAAAGGAAGCGCTCTTCCTACCCCCCAACCAGGTTTTCAGACTGTAACAACATTCTTGAAAGAAAATGAGCTTCACAGCTCAAAAGCACTGCTGCTACATTTGGGAAATACTTGAGAAATTGATGAAACGCCCAATATCGTCAAAACATTACTGTGATAGTATTAATGGTGTGGGAGGGTTCCATTTTTGAGTCAGTAGCTTTAAAACACAGAGGAATTTGCTACCTGCTGCCATCTGTAAGGAGACTCTCTGCTCAGAAAATCCCAAATATGATGGTTGATGTATATGGAAAGTATATTATTAAACAGATTAAGACCACAACTGCTTATGTGTTGCTCCATGACATTTGGGGTGAGATGTATCCAAGCCAGCAGCTTTGAAACAAAATTAGTATGGAAAGTTCCTGAGTCAGGTTCCCAGCACCTTCGGACACTGCACACGGTACAATTGCATTTTGGCTTGTGCTATAAATTACATCAATGAAATGAGCCAAATTAAAAGATACAGCTCCAAATACGAAAGAAGAATGAGAGTTAAATCCATAACTTGAGTGTTAAGTTTACAGTGCAGTCCCACAGTTTTATCAGCATAAATGAGGGAGTTGATAAATTGTAGAGCATGTGTGTGGGAAGGAAGAGCAGGGGATGGGAAGGTAAATGCTTCCTGCTAATGCTGAGTTTGCCATGGAGGCCAATGAATCATGTTGTTCCTGCTTGGTAGAAGGAGTTTATTTGATACACTTAAGAGTAACAAAAAGTCTCCAAAGCACAATCGTGAGGATGCTTTGGCAACAGCATGAAGTCACATATTATCTCAGGAGAACTGCTTCAAGTGCCAGAACAATGGCCAAGTCCGTATATTCTGCACTGGTATCAAAGGCCAGATCCTAAGCACCTCTTAGGATCTCCAAGAAAAGTCACCTCCTGCCGTCCGAAACTGACATACTGCATTAAAAGCCCCAGCAGCTGTGAAAGCTAGGGACTTTGTGAGCACTAAGGTTATTTGAAATAATGCTACTTTATATAGATAGAAACTATCTCATTCTAAGCAACCACTTTTGAGAAATTTGTTATGAAATTACTATTACAAGTTTGAGAGAGTCTTACTTTGACACCATCTATATCCATAACACGAAGAGCCGACTTGCTGTCTGCAAATGTCACCAGCATTTGACCTCCACTGATCCTAGTAAAAAAAAGGTAGAGGAGAAAAAACAGTGCATTTTCCTTCACCATTAAATAAAAACCCTTAAAGGCAAGCACGATAGCTTCGTATAGCTATATATTTGGTTTTAGTTGTGTTTTCCTCACAAGTCTATTTTGGGGGGAGTAACACATGATCTATGAATCCCAGTTGAGCTCTTCCTCTCCCTCACCCTCCCTTGTGTGACCCCAGTACCCTGCCCTTGACTGGACTGCCGCCCCGTGAAGCAGCAGTACAAACATCTCAGCAGCTGTTGGCAGGTCTGACCAAGTCTGATATCTGCACTCCCTCTGTACTGACTTCCATGGCTCTCCATACACCTCACCTCAAAGGCCATGTGACGTTCCCAAAGACTGGTATACCATCAAGGTCAGAAGAAATTAAAACCAAAACTAAACCACCAAAGCATATTCTTCTCTTGCTCCTTTTCCTTCACAAGCAAGATGATGCTGCTGTTCCTCCAGGGCTGCTTTTGAACCCTTGATTTATATTTGGTACTTCATAAAACCATATAACAGGTCATCAGTTTTCTCCATTAATAAATGGGTCAAATATAATATAAACAAGTGTCTGGTCTTGTTTCCCAGGTCAACTGTCAGATCTTTTGCCTGTATTTCTCAAAACAGAAGGCTCACAGCCCTGTACGGGAGCTGTACATGCTGGAGCCCTGTACAGGATCAACCAGAATGAAATTAAACTGCTCTGCCAGAAGGTATCACATTGCACTCTCCCTCTCAAACTCAGTAGGTGATGGAACTTCAAGAAGCCATACTATTAACAAGCAACCAAAATGTCCCCCAAAAGAAAGGGAGCCAGCTAGGAAATCTTAGTGAGTGTGACAGTGCTGGAAGAGAGCAGCATTTCCTTGGAGGAAGTGAGGCAGGGGCCCTGCCAACAGAGGCAATGCATAGAAATGAGGCCTGCATCTAAAGGTGATGATTCACATCAAAGCCTCTGCTTTATGGTGCCATACCGAATAAAGTTCTCCTCCACTCAGCTGAGAGAGTGGAGAATTTTCTTTAACAGGTCGATGAGAGGTAAAAGGTATTCAAAACACTTGTATTCAATTTCTAACGAGGAATTCAACACGCAGGAAAGGAATTCAGCATACTGCTTTCTAATATGAAGTTAATTCTGTCAGGACAAAAGGGGCATTTCTAGTCTGTTTTTGAATAGCTGACATGCCATTTCAGATCCCCAACTTACCTGACCAGAACAATAGTGCCATAATTCTCAAACATTTGCATAAGCTCTGTACGCAAGTCCTCAGGAAATTCGTTCTTCTCTTCAGGTGTTGGTGATAGCAGATTTACCACTACTGTGGCATCCAGTGGTCCCTGGAAAGATGACACTTCCTGGAAAACACTCTCACGGGCAGCTTGATTAACTTCCTGAACTTCCACTTCTACAATAGCTAACACTGGCCTACATGAAACAAAGGAGAAATGCTGATTTAAAATTAAGATCAACATCACCCAACAGGAAATGCTTATATAAAACTAAAATCAATGTCAAGCTGCAGGACAGGTAAGCACTTAGCTGTGTGAAGGACAAGCAGTGTATTGTTTAAACTCTATACAACTACGACCATTAACTCCACGATGTTACATCTCGTTGCAAATATTTCATTAAGCCTGCTATGCCTTAGATGGAAGTGATCATTATGTATGACCTACACTGAAAGAGAAGTGGAACAAATTACTTAAGGTCTTACTGCAAAGAAGTGCTGTGGTTGGCAATACAACTCAGAAGTTCAGAGTCTGGTGGATTGTTTCATTTTTCCTGCAGCGGAAGATCATGCCTTGAGCACTGTTAAATATATTTACCAGCCCTGAATTAGCTGAATGTAACAGTAAGGAATGTAAAGGAATTCAAATAACCATTGTGTGCACCAGTTCTGGCAAACCTGCAGTCTAAAAATACTAGGATATTTCACTCGTTACCAAAGAGCTGTGTTCCAAAACATCTATAGATCAGGAAGGCAATATATTATTTTCTATTAGACAAGGCCACACAAAGATGTCTTCTTCCAAAAACATAAGGACAAGGTACTCTAAGTGTATAGTTTGTTTATGTAGCAAACATATGTCAATCCATCACATTATAAGCAGCCAACACTTCAAACTTGCTTCTTCAGCCATTTCTTACAAATCACCTCTCTGTGTGTTAGATCTAAATAAAACTGAGTAAGCTTTCTCAAAGAGTAAAGCTTGTCTCATCTCAGTGGATGCAAGCCACATTCTCAGATTTCCACCTGCACATACAGAGACAGAGCAGTAAGCGGAATAGCTGCTCTTCAAACTATGCCAAAATCGCTGCCTCCTACTTGCCACAGAGTAGAAATAAGCAATACCAGAATATGTGAAAGCAACAACAGCCGAGCTCAAAAGGACTAGTAAAAAAAGGGCGGGGGACGGAAGCTATAGAAATAGTTAAGTATTTCTACAAGCACTGTGAATCATAATGCATTTCCATATGTCACAAGCCCGTTTTCCAGCATAAATGCTGGGAAAGCAAACCTGCTGACTGTAATTAAAAAGCAGTTTCTGCAGTCAAGTTTGCTGAAATAGAAAACCAATGTACACCAGTCATGTTTCACAGATTGCATCCTCGGGGTCCTTTATAATGAGTGCAGCAGTTCCACTGTGCTTTGTGGAAGACAGCAATGTCAAAGCCTTGACACAGAGAAATTGATTGCAAGAGGCACGTTCTTCCATTGCTGGAGGAATAGAGAACAGCTCTTGCATGCAGAAGCACTGTGAGAAGCACAGAGCCAGTTACTGTGGGTCACTGAGCACTACTATGAGGAAAAATGTTGTAGCACTTCCATAGGGCATGCAAGGAGTGAGACATAGATTATTCCAAATGCAAGGGAGCTTTCAGGGTATATTTATTATAGAATTTGTTTGAGGGAAGTGAAGCAGTGAACAAGTTTAACAAAGAAAGGCCATTCATATCCCTAAAGAGAAGTTAATGATATGGACCAACCAGAGGCACCGGTCTTTATTTTTCCCTTCTTTTCCCATCTCCATTTCTAGGGGAAGCCCAGAAGCGCAACACTTCCCTACCCTGATATGGCCACACCTAGCCCTGTGCACATGGCTTACACCTCTCCACTACAGGCCACACTGTCCCAACCTCCTCCTCTCCCATGGCATGCTGAGTGGAAGCCCATCAGAGCAGCATGTTTTGCTACTGGAGCTTTCAAAAACCAAGCAACAGAAAGCCATCAGCTTTCTATACCTTTCGCTACAACTTATTCAACCCTTGCCCACATCACAGTGCAGCAGAAATCAATACAAGACCATAGATACTTGCCCCCTGGTATAAAACCTACCATGAGGGAAAAAAAACCTCTCCAAATGGATACTGAACACAGAACAAGAGTGTAATTCCTGTTACAATCAGACTCAGTCCCTCACTCTGAAGGTGTAATTCAGTATGACACATTCTACCTTGTGCCCTTCCTTTCATTATTTGCTTAGGACTTTACCTGTGGTCAGATGCTTGCAGCTCCGCTCTCCCATAGTACATCAAGGCTCCGGGCGTCCAGGTGTGCCTGACTTTAGTTTCAGCATTCAGATCACTGTCTAGAAGATTGCTCTCTCCAGCTATGCAGCACAAAACATGATTTAAAACTCACTCAAAGCTAGCTGTACTAACAGTTAAGAGCTATTCTATTAGGATGCACTTTACAGACCCTAGTAGTAGGAGGTGGGGTATTTCTGTTCTTGTATCTTAAAATATTTACCAGTTAGGGTCTAGGGAAAAAAAAATAAAGAAAGGACAGGGAGTGCAACAGACACCTGTAAAATGGTTAACCTGAATGTCACCCCATCGATTGCCTGTACAATCTGAGTTGACATAGTCATACTAGGATTTTGCCTCCTGCCCCATTATTGAGCATAGAAACAGACACTATACCTGCAAAACACATTGCAAATCTGAATAACACACAGGGATTGGAGAAATAATACAGAAGAGATGGGAGGAAGCAAGCCCATGTAAATCCAACCTCTGAATACTTCTTTTGCAACGCATGAAGATGACAAAGTGCTCCAGACATTATGCTAGAGCGTTATATTGCTGTGAGTAACAGGAAGGTTCTTGGTCACTGTTTAGGCTAATGGACTACTACATCTTTTTTCTCTGTAGTTGAAAATGACAAACTCTCCAATTCCCCTAGTTTTGCTTTGTATCTTTTACCCTCAGTGTACTCATGGTATGACCTGGATTCCAAGCAGTAGTTCCCAGGCACGTCAAAAAGCAAATCTGCAGGCACAAACCAAACTACTTCCCCAGCACACACAAAGAAATACTTTTTATTTTGTTAGTGTAACTTCTGAAAACAAGTGAAAATAGCCCTTCTGTTGTGCTGGCCACTCATGATCAGAAAGTACTTTACAAGCACTAATTAATGAAATGTGGATTAATGATTTTGTTGAAAAACAACATAATAATTTCTAGATTGCTGGAGCTGGACTGTTTTCAGCTCCTGAGTGAAGTCCCAGCACCTTTTCAATCTGCAGCATGAACCCTTTGTTCATATGAAGAAATGGCTCTTTCTATTCCTGCAAGTTATTCCAGTGAAGCTGAAAGAACATCTGCTAGAGTAAAGCTACTGCAATTTCACAAAGCCTACGGGACCCATCTAAAGGCAGCTGACAGCCCAGAACTCACTAACTCCCTTCCTCACCATTCACTAGATTAAATTCCCTTATGTCCAGAACTCACTAACTCCCTTCCTCACCATTCACTACATTAGATTCCCTTATGTGGATTCTGGATGAAATCTAAAACAACTTTCAGATAAAGGAGGAGGAAAGATCTTACGCACCTGTTTTTTCAAAGGGCAGTTTCTTTCTCCACCAAAGCACTCTGTCAGTCCAAGCCGGGGTTCTGCACTTGTCACTTGTATCATAAGCCTCTGAGCCAACATCGTATTTATATGTTGGTCCAAAATTAATAGTCCCTTCATGGAAGTCTTTAAAAATCTATGAAAACAGATACCATCTCTTTGATCAAATCAGATGAGGTAGGTGCCATTGTGATGTCTCCACTTCCTTGCAAACAAATATTCTGATTTTTAAACAAATTACTACATTCATGTACTGCAAACAAGGGCCTGAAAACACAACTTTTTTACTCTCTCAAGGAACTAGACCAAACCAAAATGCAGGTATTCAAGAAAATGAGACACACTGCCTTACTTTTCCACTGGATTTTTGCTGTTGTAGTTGATCAAACTCCAAAAGCGTCTTCCAATCTTGACGTTTGAGAAAATAAAACACTTCCTCGTATGTTAGATCAATGCGATAGTTAAAATCACCACACCAGAAGACATAGTCATGTGAGAACATGCTCTGCCCCTAGTTTGGAGGTACAGAATTCTGTTAATGTTAAATTGCATTAATGAAACCACATTTTAAATGCATTGAAATGTAGAACCCAGTCTCTCTGAATACTAAATACTGGACCTACTTGTCATATTCTATTTGTTAAAATCCATCTTGCGCTAAAATGGAACGGTTCCTTCACTGTCTTTTGCATCCTGCTGAGCTGAATTTTGTAAACAAGAGTGTCAGGCTCTGACCCCTGTTTCCTGAAGGTATGCCTAAGCCAGGACTCCTGCTTTATATATTCACAATTTGGCTATCATGAATATTAAATATATATGCTTGTTTCCCTAACACATTTCACCCACATATATTTACATATTCTAAATATAACATAAAATGTGCTTCTGCTACCAAGGCATATTCAATAACATAGGCTCTGAGTAAGAACAAGCTCCAAATTTGATCTTATGTGCACGTCATAGTTTGGCAAGTGTATTGAAATAAAACGTCAATGAAAATTCACTCCAGTTATAAATTATACATCCCATCCTCTAACCAGTCTTTTGGGGTTTTCTTCCTTCTTCCAGTTAAGCTATAAACCTCTAACAGCCAGAGATTCTTAAAGGAATCGTTCCAGAGCTGTGGCTGTCACAGCACTAGAGGGCACTCTTTCTATGCATTATAAACACAAGGTACTTTCAGCTATCGAAAATGTAAAGGACATAAAAGAGCTAATGATGTATTAGAAGAAAAAAAACTACCATGAGCACAACTTTATGGCCATTTGGAACAGATATTCTATGCAGGACGTCCAGACTGTCAGTGTTAGTTCTTACATAAAACAACTGATTGATACGCTGCACGTGCCAAGCCTCTAAACCTTGCAAACAACAGGAAGTTAAAATTTTATGCTTTGCAACCTAAATGCCATCGTTTGCTGACAAACCAGAATACACAAGCTGGTCCATTCCCTCCTTGGTTTAGGACCTCTCCAGGGATGTCTGAGAAATAAAGCATTGTGGAAATTAAAGCAACCAGCGTTGAGGGAATCAAAGGAGCACTGCTACTAAATCCCATGAGTTATCTACTGGCCTGAGGAGACAAGTGTGAAATAAAACACTAGGATGATTGATTTGACACAATTTAGGGAAGAAGTTATTCATACACATACAATAGTGCAGCTAAAGCAGCTAAGCCTACTTGCCACACACTGAGGAAAGCCAAACAGCTTTCCTTGGCAGTGACACATTCATGAGGACAAAGTGAAGAGAACAGAAAGTACCATGTCAGTGACCAAGAACTGACATATCATACCCAAGCAGGAGCAGCTAAAGCCTTATGTACTGAGTGGCATGGATGGTGTTTTAGATACTGTTACTAGTGCCAGCAAGAGCTATCAATATCATGCTCTCTAGCCAGACACCTAGATCTTATCCATGAGGCCTTACAGATTTGTCAGTTAAGTTGCACCTTTGTGAAAGATCAACTTCAAAACTGCTCAAACACAGGGACTTTTCAAGCACTGCAGCAACTGTATTTTTTGAAAGGGGTAGTACTTTTGTAAAGTGAGTGCTATGTTGGGTGGTATCTGGTCTCTTGTGAAATATTTTACCATTTTCCTAAAAGCCCATTCTCCACTGCACTGAGATGACTTCTTTGATGACCTATCATCAAAGACAGACTGATACCAGCTTTCATAATGTAAAGATCCAGCCTTTATCTCAAATTTTTTTAGCATACATGCATATACACTTACCATTGGGAAGCTGAGTTTCTGTGTGATTTCTTTATAATCTTCATTCCTTTCTTTCACCTGAGTCTGCCCAGCAGTTAAGTGACTGCATATAAAGCAGAAACTAGTACTATAGAACTGAAAACGAATGCTTACTGCCCCTTTATTTCCAGCTTTTCCTCCCATTCCTGTCTTCACGGTGTCTATTGCTACATCCCTATATTAAAAAAAAAAAAGAAGAAAGATAAGAGAGTAAAGGGCTGCAGGGACAAACATTCAATCAGGTTTGACTGCAACATAAAGGAAAAGCCAGTTTACAATGCCATGTCTTCTCCCCTCCAGAAAGCTTGTTGTCTTAGGCTCATCATTTAGATTCTTTATGATGTTCACATACTTGTTTTTCAAATTAAGTGTAATACAATAGCATAGAAATAAAACTATTTGAACGTATTTCCCTCCTCTTTTTGTCCCTTCCAAACAGATGAGCAAGACATTATTTCTGAAATATTGGGAATTTCTACAGAATACATTTTTCAAGTTTACCTCTACTATGATCTTTAAAATAGTGACAATAACTAAATTTACTATTATATTTCCTTTTATTTTTGAACATATGGCAATCTGTTTTTCAGGCAGTTAACAATTTCATTAGTGTTACTACATGTTAAAACCCGACTTCGCAGTTGGTGCCAGATTTTTCAGTCAATTAAAGAGCAACAGATCATAACCCATAATTTGTTAAATCAGATGCAATAAAATCAGTGATCATTGGATACACTATTTATACCTAACTCCTAAAATGAGTTCTGTCCTGATGACAAATTGCTTAGGGTCTTTATGTTTTTAATTACATAGTATTTCAATGTCATGATTAGCACACACTTCACTACAGAAAGATGACTTGGCAAAGCAGACCACCTGCTCGCAGGATACTTTCTCCTAGATAGCTAGCTACTCTACTCTGAGAATAAAGCATGCCCGTCTGATCAGATAAGTAAATGATGAGACCACTGTTGTAACCAACCCCAGCACCATGCATGCCCCTCCCAGTGAGAAAATATTGCTTTCTAGACATAAGTCAAGCAGAGTTGGTCTAGAATATTACTTGGTAAGTAACAGGCAGGTGGAAAACCACTAAGTCTTATTTAAGTTGTTGCCAGACATTCATGATCTGAATGATGTTAAGATCTTATACCTCTCTTACCTCCCCCTCTTGATTTTCTTCTCTTCCCAGCTTTCTATCTCTTTTTCTCCCTCTTTATTTTTCTCTCTTTTCCTGACTGCAGAAAACCACCAGAATACACCCTCAGGTAGGCAAAAGAGGACCAGCAATGTTTTCTATGAAAAGATGGGATTTAAGCACTCCAAGAGAACCACGTGTTCAGTCTTTTCATTCTAAGGAATTCTCCCTTCCTGCTGCTTGCCTACCCAGCTGCTGACTGACATTTATCTGATTTGCATTCATGGCAACGGTTATGTTGAGATAACCCACCATATATTCAACTGCTTGTATTTTATCAGTCCTTTCATTGCTGTATAAGCTTCAGCTATTCTCTCATTTTATTCCTCTATTCTTTAACTTCTGTCCTAATCTCTTCAATCTCTGTAAGCACAGAAGCCTTTTTTTGCACTGCTGATAATTTTCGTTTTCCTTTTCTGGGCATGGGAAAAACTACACAAGCGTACGGGCTTGGTTTGATTACAGCCACATAACACATAGCAGCACATCAGCTTGAAATGATGAAACCTGATCACTAACATCAAACCCTTCCCTCTTCCTCTTGGGTTTGAAAAGGCTACATCCAGTTTGACAGCTGCAACAGAGCCATTGTGCTGTTTTGCTTCTGATTTCCATTTAAACTATGCACTTTCTGGATTACTCAAATTTCTTCTAAGCCAGGTGAAAAGTCAAAAACTGGCAGACACTTCTCCCCTGGACTGCTTCATGCCAGCAGAAACATGTAATTTTTTTAAATCACGTTGAAGAAAGATTACTGGGAAGGCAGCAATGCAAGACCACCAGGGTTACCTGGATTGCATTACTCTGCTTAGCCTACAGCATTTGCCATTGAACAAGCTCTGCACTGATCTTCTCAGTAGATAAGAGATCAGAGGGAAGAAAGAGGCAGCTTTTAGTATTTTGATCACAAAATGCAGTGGCCTATCAGTGCCCTAATATGGGGTAGAGGGCACTGATTGGACCACTCTAGACTTCAAGGTCAGACAGATGCCCAAAGGTAGTTTTGGCTAATTACTCATTTCCCACCCATTTATGATCACCCTGCACAATTCTTGCCCACCATATTTTAATGCAGATATCCCCTGTGGCTTGGTAATCTTCTAGGGGCAAGAGGAGTTTGGTCAGTCTCCAGGGAAATCAGTACTAGTAAGCTGAGGACACACAGCTCCAAACCCTTCTGACTAGGCACGTGGTTCTGGTTCTTGTAACGTCTGGGAGAGACAAACATTTAATGGGCCCTAATAACTCTTGATTCTATAGAATGTCACAGGGCAAAATAGCTCTCTTTCCCCCACTTCCCCTTCCATGTTTTCCACCATTCTTTTCAGGTCTGGAACTAGTTCTGTAAAACATGTCCTTCAGGCAGAGACACTTGCCTTCATCTGGAACTCCTGGACTTACTAGCTCAGGTCATTCCCTTTCTAGAAAGACAGGACCTAAACAAGGTGCTACACCCTGGCTGCCCGCTTCAAGCATGCCCGGCTTCTCAGCTGAACTGGAGGAAGATATGGGGGCTGCCTGGCCTTTGTGCTACCCAGGAGGATGGACTCCAGACTACAGCTGCCTGGAAACATGTCTGTCTCCCACACTGAGCAGACCAGAAACAAAGTTTGCACAATTCCCACCAAGCTGAAAAATCACTCCCACCCTTTGCTGGCCACGGTCCAACAACAGATGTTACTGAAAACACAGGTTGGGTGGGGTGGTTGCGGTTTTCCTGCTTTGTTTTTTACCTGATGAAGGGGACATGATATGGTCGTACAAAGATGAAAAGACAAACACCAACAAGCTGGGCTGATGTCAGCTGAATGTAGCGATGAGTCCTGGAAATTGCTTTTTGAAGCTGCTCTCCCCACATTTTTCTATTTGTTGTACTGGAACAAACATAAAATCATTTAATGGAATCAAAAGAAACCACATACAGTCAATAAAATGAGCAGATTAACTGTGCCTTAGGTTTACAGACATCCATTAGGCTGTGGAACTGGAAGTGCTGTAGGATGGATGCATGGCAGAGACAGATAATACCTCCTTGTGAGCCAGTCCAGAGTTAGCAGGGTCAGTGAGCCCAGGCACAGCACACAAATACGGTTATCCTACTTTTGGACATTGTGTCCTACTTTTTGTCTACTGTGCTTAGAAAGATCCATGCTCATGGATCTCACATGATATTTGATATCCCTATTCACTGTGGATAATTGGAAGCTGATTGTAGTAATCACAGCCATAAAAACAAAAATACATGTCAATCTCATGACTTGTAAGATTTCTTGTGCTCACAGAGAAAAAGATCTTCCCTGACTAGGAGATTACTGGCTGTAACTTGCCATTCCCAAAACAGACAACTGGTCAGCCTGATGGATCCACACTGGAAACTTCTTCAGATTCCACCCTGGATCCAGATTCAAAAGGACCAGTATACACAACAGCCTGCTGTGCATGCTGACATGCCAAGCTCAGGCTTTGTCTTTAACTCCTTCTCTAGCCATAATTTTCATAAATACAATTAGCCACAGAAACATTTCAATCACTTTAGAATTCCCACATGAATGCCAATTATGTCTGTAGTCACTGGGCACACTTTTCCAACATCAGACAGGGATTTAAGAACAAGCATTAAATCAATGTCAACCATGAGAATTCTTCCCTGCCAATGTTAAGACTTAAGAGACTTAGAAAACACAGTATATTCTACTGTACAGAAGTTCACAGAAAAACAGCACTTAAACACCATCCAAGTGCCATTTGTTAATGGCAAAGGTATTTCCAGCTATGATTACAAGCAACAGAGTTGGAAGGAGGTATTCTGTACATCTGACCATAAAAAAGAACAACTGTGGAGGCTTTTGTTTGGCTGGTTCCTCTGGGGGAGAGGGTTCTCTTTTTAGGTTGTGATGGGTTGGTTTTTTTTTTGTTGTTGTTTTGAGTTGTGGTTTGAGGGGGGATTTATTTTGTTGGTCGTTTGGGGTTTTTTGTGTTTGTTTTTTGGTTGGTTCTTTTGTCTTTTGTGGGTTTTTTTCTCTTTTTTGTCGTCGTTTTGTTTTTACCTACCTGGCATTCACAATATTCCCTGCACTTAATTCAACCATCTCTTCAAACCCCACTGCAAATATGTCAGGAGGAAAGTTATCATCTGTTGGCAAGAAGGAAAAGTCATACAAGGGTTACTACTTTGTTGTTTCTTCTAACAACTTGTATTCTGATTTCTGTTAGAGATCATTCCTGTAGTTCTATCTTGTGTAACCCCTGCCAAGCTATACATATTCATAGCGCTTTTAATCTAATCTCACAAAACAACCCCTGCAGTTCCTCTGAATTTTTTTCCTGCTTTTCTCTCACCAGTTGGTCTCCATCTCTCTTGCAGAAAGCAAGAACTTACTGTCCACAACACCAGTACATCACTTCCATGTCAATGCCTTTAGTAAATTTATCTACCAGCTTAAGAAAGACTTTGAAGATTCTTCTTATCTTCTTTTTTTCTGAGATCTTCTTAGATCACCCACACTTAAGGTTGGGTTAGATCACTCTAGAGCACAGTGACCCTTCCTTCCCTGGCCCAGGCCCGTGGATATTACCCTGGTAAAACACCAAAGACCAAATGCTCTCATGTTGTGCAGTGTACCTGTTGACCCATCAGGTCTGCCCATTGCCTAAAGGGATTTTTTTTTTTTTTTTTAAACTGTCATGTGGCCAAGGTAACAGCAACTTAATTCAACATGAAGACCTAAACAGTAGACAACCGTAAGAGCCTAAATCAGATCTGCCTCAGAAAACAAGAACAGAAAGAGAAGTAAAATATGCAGCAACTCTCTGTAGGCACATGGGTGAAACTAGCACATGACAGCTAGCCTCATTTACTGGCTTAACATGACAAGCACTGTCACATATGTATTTCTCATTAATAATTTTGGACATTTGTCTTTGAACACTTACCCATTCGTGTAGGCACTGCACTGACAGTTCCATGAACACAGATGTTTGCATGGTCATACCCTAGCTCTGTTCACATTAGTCAGCTCTCTTCCAGAAGCTGCTTAGACCTATCATGTTATGACTGCCCGTACCATGAGCTGAACCTCCAGTTCTCTCAGGGGAAGGCCTGGCAAGGCTAGCACATGACAAGCTCTCAAGAGATTTTAGTATCACGAACACAGCCATGTGCTAACTCATCTCAGCTGTTCCTGAAACAGACTGGACCAATCACCCACCTAAGCACTAGGGGTTCAATCGAGACAACTTGCAAGTAGCCAAGGATTTGAGGAATGAATTCCTGAGCCTCAAGGTTAGGCACAGGACTACTCCTGTGATGCCTGCAGGAAGCTAAATGTTCCACTGTAACAACAAAAGCACAGGTTTTGCCATAGTTCTGTAACCATTCAATTTTTAAATGACAGAACATTCACTTTTCATTTTCCTTAATAAAATCTGTAGATCAGTTGCAATATCTGACCTTGGTCTGTAAGTAAGAAATTCAGCAGCCAATTTAAGCAAGCCAAAAGCACAAGAGCTTTCTATACTGAAAGATAAATGAAATTGCCTCCAAAAAAAAAAAACAAAACCCTTTTGTCTGAAGGCTTTGACAATAATATTTCCAGACAATCTCCGAGTTCAGATTGTACAGATATGTTTAGCTCCAGGTAAAGACCAAGGAGACATTCTGAGGCCATATAAGCATGTAGCTCCCACTTACAGTGAAGAACACAGAACAAACTATGGAAGAAGAAATGAAATACAGGATGCAAATAGACACCCCATGACAGCATGAAAGAGACCTCTGACTTCTGAAGGTGCAAAACAGTCACATAGTATAGACTCAGGAGTTGCTCTGACTGTCAGAAACCCTTCACACATGATTCTACTGCTGCAGGAAGGCAGCACAAGTCTACAACCCTAAGAACTGACAGAAAATGCCCTCCAAGATGCACTGCCTTTGAAAAGAACAGCTGGTCAAATCTTATGTCCCAACTCACTGTCTCCAGAGATGCCAGCAATATTGCTTACACATTTTGACTCTGAAGTCTTACCCTGAAATTCAGAAACTCCAGAGAGCTTGGGAGAATCCAGCAGCCAGTCTGTCAGCTCACTGGTACCAAGGACGTTGCTTCGAAACTGCTTCCCCCCATTCACGTTCCAGGTCCCTGTGGCAACACGAACACGCTTGAAGCTTGTGAATTCAAACTGACGCTCTGACATGGCCTTCAAAATACTTGGAGTTACTGATGGAAGAGAAGAAAGAGAAAAAGGATGTGTAAAAGAATGTGCTGTAAAAGGACAGAAAGCATACAGACAGCAACAACACAGCCAGTGTGAAATAATAACATTAACCTAGCAGCAACGACACAAAAGCTAAGGAATAACTCCAATGGCAATGGCATTAACTACAAGATAACTGGAGTTGACATCAGTAGTTTCTCTTCAGAGACCAGGCACCCTTCGATAGCCTCTGAAGGGCTGGTCTCTCACTTTCAGCATACATTTTCCTGCACTTCTTAAAGTAATAAGCAAACAAATTATTTTTTCTCCTTTAACCTTTTCAGTCTAGCCTACAGTGATGTTGTGGTTTAACCCCAGCTGGCAACTAAGCACCACACAGTCACTTGCTCTCTGCCCTCCCCTACAGCAGGATGGGAGAAAGAGGTGGAAAAGTAAGAAAACTTGTGGGTCAAGATAAAGACAGTTTAATGGGACAGAAAGGAAGAAAATAATTATTAAGATGATAATAGTAATAATAGTAGTAATAATAATAATGATAAATTAGAATATACAAAAGAAGTGATGCACAATGCAGTTGCTCGCCACTTGCCAACTGATGCCCAGCCAGCTCCCAAGCAGCAGCCCCTGGCGGGCTTTCCCCCCCAGTTTATACACCGAGCATGATGTCATACAGTATGGAATATCCTTTGGTCAGCTGTCCTGGCTGTGTCCCCTCCCAACTTCCTGTGCCTCTCCAGCCTTCTTGCTGGCAGGGCAGTATAAGAAGCTGAAAAGTTCTTGACTTAGTATCAACACTACTTAGCAACAACTAAAAACATTAGTGTGTTATCAACATTACTCTCATACTAAATCCAAAACACAACACTATACCAGCTACTAGGAAGAAAAATAACTCTATCCCAGCCAAAATTAGGACAAGCAATCAAGCATGTCACAAGTTACGAATTAAACTGAAGCCCTAAAAAGTTTAGAGTGTGAAGGGAAAGGCAGAGACCAGAGTCTTACATGAGTCCAAATCTAGCACTGTTGTGGCTCTCTAGCCTGGTCAGAACTCCTCACAGGAAACTGCTATAATTCACTTATTTTTGGTGAGTACAGAAAATGAGCAGTGTGCCTCTTTTGAGCAACTGACGTAACCTGAATCTTTAACTACTTGATTTGCACTGGCAGTCAGGCATAGAGAAACTATCTGTATTTTCCTTGTGGTCTGCACCAGGAAAGAGCCCCAGGATTGAAGTGGTGCTGAACAGTTCAAGTCTATCCTACTAACATCTGGTAGTTCTCTAGAGCAAATTGACCACCTGATACTGCTTGTGAGTGCAATTATCCTATATTTTGCATACAAGTATTTTCTCAGAGAGAGCTAAGGCAGTTTATCCTAAATGGGTGCAAACCACTGTGTATGTTGTGGACTATCAGGGCTCTGGAGTAAAGCAGGGGATGAACCAACATAACAAGGTAATTGTGCTTTTAAAGATCCAAATGCTAAAAGCATGTGCAAACCACAAGCCAAAAGTAAGGAGATAAAAAGTCTGAGCTCAAGAGACTTCCACAAGACAAAATCAGACAGGACCAGGCTGGGAATACAGCCCTAGTCTTTCCCTCTGGTCCAACTCCTCTAAGCTGTCAGAGGAGATCACCATCAAAGAGCAGACATACTCAGAAGACCAAAACAAAATATGAGAAGTAAGCACAGTGGAATTAAACCACACAAAGCTGTGCTATGGTCACTTGAAAGCACTGCTTTAAACAATAGATTTGTGCAAAAGTAGCTTGCTTATTGATTTTTTCAAAAGAGTGCAACTGATTATATCTGACAACTACAAACAGACACAAAAGAAAAGCAAAGGATTTACAACAGCCTCACCCAGCAGTGCAGTGTGGTCCATGAGCATCTTGCCTTTGTCTGCATATTCCTCACTGAAGAAGTCACCCATGAGCAGCAACTTGATGGCTTCCTGCTTTGCTGCATCTGAGAAATTTGACTGAATGGTGCGAGACACAGAGCGGGCACCATCCTTGAGCTTCCCAACCTGCATTGGACAGGAATCATCAGTGCAAGTGACACTGAAGAGTAAATCAGACATTCTTCTTTACTTGTGAATAAACAGTTTTGCTGTTTTTCTTTACCTTGTTCTTCCCCTCAAGGGCACGACTGCCTGTTGATACTCTGCTCAGATTCTGACCATTAAGAGTCCACATTGCTTTGTAGGATTCCACAAAGCGCTCAATTACAGATTTAGAGTTCAACCCAAGGCTCTCTAATTGAGCAAGCAGGATCTGGATTAGGTGCAGAAGGAGAAAAAACAACAGCAACATTGTTCTTAGATGTGTTTTTGCTTTTTATCCTCAGTTTAAGTATTCCAGCCGGTACCATTCTTTATCATATGGCTGGCAAAACAGACTTGTATAAATAAGGCTCATGCCCTCTTTCTTGTCTTTGCCATGGAACAGATAATGTATGCAGTACAGGATTCCACAAAAGGCCCTCTGACAAACTCACCTCCAGTGCAATGAAGGACTGTACGCTATTAGTACGATTCAGGCAGTCCAAACAATTCATTCGAAAAGTACCTGTCTGCAGACTTCAGTAACCAAACACAAGAGGAGGGAGGAAAAAAAGGTATATTTTAAAATAACATCTAATCGTGAGTTGATTGAACAAGATCACCAAATGTTCAGCCTGAATATTCCCACCCACATTTTGATGATGCATAATATATTCCATTAAATTGTCTAATTATTAGACTACATCTGCAACACTTTATTAGCAAATCCATGCACTGGAAATTTTGCAGATTCCAAATGATGGAGATGCAGTTAGGCAAATAATCTATTCAGCACCAGGACTACACTTTGTCTCAAAATTATATTTCAAGATGGTCATTTACACTCATGGTCCAAACACAGCAAGAAACCAACCAGGTGGTGCCTGGCTATGCTGGGACAGAGGGGCAGGGACACTCACCGTGGACTTACATTCTCGCCCTTTGTGAAGATTCCAAAGTCTTCCCAATGCAACTTCAGCTGAGGCCTCAGCAAATTTTCCAGTTTCTCAGTCTTCCCACCTTTTGCAAACTTGTAGTCAAAGTTTATCATGGGAGTGTCTGCCGCATGGGAAGAGGCCCATAGCAGTTTCTGTTTAGATAGAGAATGGAGGAAACCAAATTCTGCTCAAGCCACACTGTAGGGATTGATACCAGTGTGCTTTTATCACTACTGAGCTTACTCTTTATCATGTTTTTAATATTCAAAAGTTCACAGGGAATTTTGAAAGGCCAGACATGAAAAAAACAACTGAAGTTCCCTATTTGTTTTCTTTCCATAACTAATCTTGATTGTTAGATCCCAATTTTTCAGCAGGGGACCTCAAACTGTAACTGCAAAGTATGTATCAGAATTGCTGCTGTCTGTGCTGTGTGGCTAGTGGCAGCCCTGCAGCACTGGGCTGCTATCTCTGTGTACAAGAGCATACAGCTCTGGGCAAGCTCAAGACCAGGACCCTGATGGGAAGGGTGTCCAGAGCTGCTTAAGGTAAAAAAGCATAACAGTGCATGGGTGTATTTTTTCAACCATTCCTAAAGTGCCAACATATGGGAAAATGTGGCCCTAAACTTAGGTAGAGGTTGCCTGGGGAGGAAGTAAGGAAAAAGATGATGTCCCAGGAAACATACTATAAAATGTTTGTGGTAAACCACAAAAGTGAAAGAAGAAGCACAAATAACCTCATTATTTCATCTCCAATTTCAATGACCTCACACACATTTCCGTAATCACCACGAATTTCATTAAGTTATCTGTAATAGATACAATAATACATCCTGCTCTCCACAACAAAGCCAGCGAAAACTGTTACATTAACTCTAACTATGCATGTCTTTGTCTAGTCCCTTTTCTCCTGTACATTCTCATCCCAAGAGATGGATTTAGATTATGACACAAACTGAGCAAAACAATTCTGATATTACATTAAAAGTGTGCAGTTACAGCAGTTACACCAGTATAATTACATCAAGTAAGCCATTACGCTTCACTGCAGAAACAAATTTAAAGGTGTCGCATGTTTTTTGGAGGGAGATGTACAAAATCTATTTCATTACACTGTTACGAAAGCCAAAACACTTGGTACCCGCTTCTCTGCTGTTGACACCTTAACTTGCCTTTACAGCTGCTGGCAGTAATAATGCACTTGAGGAGGACATTTACCCACTGCCTCGGTGTAGATCATTGTCAGAGTATTCCTAACTCTACACTACAGAACTGCTTTTACTGTAAATATAATTACATCTGTTATTGAGAATGATTATGAGAGGAACAGCATTACTGGGAACAGTATTGATTTTTAGCCTGGCAACAGCCGATGCTAAGTTGGTCATTTACAATTTTTCATTTGTTCCTGTTGTATAAACAAGTGGTAGTGGTGACATTCTGATCAAGGGAACCAGCAGCAGTAATTACAAGAATATTTTGAACCAACTCTGATAAGAATTACTAAGATTGTGGCAAGAGCTGGGAGAAAAGGGAGGAATACAAGCAAAGGAAGATGGAGAAACAGAGAAATAAACCAATGATAGAAGAATAGCTTTCATTCCAAATCATTCAACTATAAATTACTTTATTTTTAATTCAAGCTCTTTAAAATCAAAATAAAAATTAACTATATATTCTTTCCAGACATCCATTTATGAAAATACAAATGGAAGACCAAGAGGTGCTTGTTTTGAATGCGTACAAAATTCCAGTTTCCTGTGCTGTCAGCCTAAATTTTTTCAGCTCACAGAGTGCTTTCATAATTTTCTTGTTTTTAAAACAGGGATAAAGTTTAACAATTCAAACAAACCAGGTCTTTAGTTAAACTAAATTAACAAATGCAATGTCTGTATTCTAGAGATGCCCTGTTTCTGACTGAACTTCCGGTTTTGTGGTACTGGGCATGAACATGGTCTTAAACATCGTGAGAGTTTGATAAAATATCAGTATTAAATTCACAAGAAAAGTCAGATTTGTACAATCATAAGTTATTTGAGCATTTCAGAAGTGATTCTCTCGTACCCTTAAACTTTAGTGTTTTAGCAAAATAAACCATAAAAACTCTTTTAAAGATAGGGAACACAGGACATTATAGAGACTTAGCTGTGTCATGCAGAAATTCAGGAAGAAGCTAGACACCAGAAACAGAAGCTAGGACCAGACTTCACTTCTGTACCTTCCTCACTGCCTTGCAAGCCTTTGTCATAAGCACTCTCTCTGGGCATATGCTGTACAGAAGGAGACTTTCACTTTGTTACTTTCCACTTGGAAAGCTGAGCGTCTTCCCCAGCTCTTTTGGAGGAGGAGGAAATGGTCACACAGAAAACTGCAAAACCCTTCAGCTACTTCTTGTCTCAAGTATGTTATTCCAACAGAGAGGGAGACAAATCCCTCTAACTACAATGTTCATTTTGCTTAGTTTCACACAGTAAGCATTTGATCTCAGACTGTTATCATTCTTTACCAATGATAAATATGTAACACTTACTACAGGTGTGTACTTAAACCATTCTTCATATTATTCTTAGGCAGATATACTCCAAAGTATCAGATTTCTAAAGCAACAGGCATTTCAGAGGCAGACTTCCATCAACCTCCAGCCAGATTCAGACACTTATTGCACTGCTGCAAACCCCACTCTGTGCCAGTCTGTGGTTTCACGTTAGTTTTAAAAATCTGGCCATAACAACATTGCACTAGAATTCAGTGCAGCTTTAATTCTACAAT